GGCACTCCCACAGCATGATGGCCGCGCTGAAGATGCACGCCCGGAGCGGGATTGCACTTCCCGGCACGCTCGGCCATCCCGCACGGCTCGGCTCTGCCGGCCCGCCTTCCTCCCCCCCCCTCCCCCGGTCGATGAGCACTGCTCTTGTTGAAGTACCACGCCCGCGCGCACACGCGCAGACAACGACGACGTGGGGACAAGGACGCGCGCGTGATGGCCCCCGCCCCCGCTTCTCGGCAACTTGCCCCTGCGCCATGGGGGAGAGAGGCCAGCAATGTTTGCTCGGCTCGCCTAAGCCGCCGGAGAGGTGGAACGGGGGCCGGTCCCGGGGGCGGGGCCGGGGGGGGGGGGAGGGGGGGGGGGGGGGGGGGGGGGGGGGGCGCCGCTCCGCCTGGCGGCGCCGTCCCGCGCCGCGCCCCCCCCCCCCAGGCCCGCAGTCCGCCGCCGACCGTGCTTGGCTGTTCGCCTACGACCGCGGGGAGAGTCGGCCAGCACCGAGACCGGTGGCCAGAATGCAAAGAGGGCGCCCACCCCCGGTGCCCTCTCCAGTGCAATCCTTCCCGGAGGGGCAGGGATTGTCCGGCCGGGCCCTGCCGCACGCACCCGGTTGAAGCCCCAGCCCTCGGTCGGGAGGCGTTAAATCACATTTTATATTCGCAGGTCTCACTCGCGGCGTGGCACTGGCCATAGGCCCGGCCACATTCCCTGCCCCGTCCCCCCCCCCCTCCCGGGTCGCCTGCCGGCGGCTTCCGCGGGCTCAGCTGCGCGTGACCCATGTGCTTGCCCCCCCCCCCCCCCCCCCCCCCCCCGGGGGGGCGCCCCCCGGCCGCCGGCGGGGGCCCCCCCCCGACGGGGGGGGGCGCCCCCCCCCCCCCGCCGGGGGGGGGGGCCCCCCCCGCTTTTTACTATCACACCCCCCGGGGCGGGGCGCCTGCGCCCCCCCCGGGGGGGTGGGGACCGCAGGAGGCGGGCGGAGAGGGGGGGGGTGGGGGGGGGGGGGGGGGGGGGGGGGGGGGGGGGGGGGGGGGGGGCACCGGAGTT